TCCAGTAGTTCGGGTAATATTCTGGATAACGAGGAGCTCATTGCTACACTGGATGAGACCAAGAATAAAGCTACCGAAATTAGCGCCAAGTTAGAGTTAGCGAGCTTCACCAAGGACGAGATCACTAAAGCTCGTGAGGTGTATACACCAGTAGCGCTGCGTGGATCCATCATGTACTTCGCTATGGCTGCGCTCGCGACGATCATGAAGATGTACGAGATCTCGCTCGCAAGTTTCTTAACCGTATTCCATACAGCACTCGAGACAGCTAAACGAGATGTCGTACTGGAGAAAAGACTACGATTTATGGTACAGTCGATCACAGAGATGATGTACGACTACACTTGCACGGGTATCTTCGAGCGACATAAACTCATGTTCTCGTTCCAGATGACGTGTATGATCATGAGTGCTTCGGGTGAGCTTAGCCGCGCTGAGCTTGATTTCTTTTTAAAGGGAGATACGTCTCTAGATGCTGCGTCTCAACCGAAACCTGAGGACCTTACGTGGGTATCAGGTGCTGGATGGAAGGATTTGCTGTGTCTAAGCAAGTTAGGCGAAGAAGGTGGTGTATTTGCGTCGTTAATGTCGGACTTTAAGACCAAGACAAGCGAGTGGAAAGCTTGGTACGACCTGGAAGCTCCCGAGTTAGCAGACCTTCCGTGTGGGTATTCCGACAAACTATCTAGTCTTCAGAAGCTGTTAGTCTTCAGGTGTTTCCGTCAGGATCGTGTGTATAATGCTATGAAGTTGTTTGTGATAGCAACGATGAGCGAGAAATTCGTACAGCCTCCAGTCTTGGACTACGCCCGGATCTACAGCCAGAGTGCTGCTACTTCGCCTATAGTGTGCATCCTGAGTCCAGGAGCTGATCCGCAGAGCGACATTCAGACTCTGGGAGACGAATACGGCTTCTCAGGACATCGATTCAAGTTCTTAGCGCTGGGTCAAGGCCAAGGACCATTAGCTGAGCAGATGTTGGAAGCGGGTGCTTCGCGCGGCCACTGGGTGTTACTACAGAACTGCCACTTGTTAGCGAGTTGGCTACGGACGTTAGAGAAAATGCTGTTGGCTATGACGAAACCTCACAAAGATTTCCGCTTGTGGCTTACTACTGAGCCTACCGATCGATTCCCGCTTGGAATCCTGCAAAGATCATTGAAAGTGGTGACAGAACCTCCTGATGGACTGAAGCAGAACATGCGTAGTTTGTACTCCAAACTGGATCAAACTATGCTGGACGAGTGCCCTCATCCAGCATTCCGCTCGGTTGTATACGTTTTGTGTTTCTTGCATGCTGTGGTGCTAGAGAGACGGAAATACGGCAAGATTGGCTGGAATGTGAGCTATGACTTTAACGAGTCGGACTTTACAATTTCAAGAAAGTTACTGAGTCTCTATCTCTACAAGGCATATGAGGACCAAGATGAACAATTACCGTGGGGATCACTTAAATACCTTATCGGAGACGCTATGTATGGAGGTCGTGTCAGTGATGATTACGATCGACGCATCCTCACGACATACTTATCCGAGTATATGGGCGATTTCCTCTTTGATGATTGCCAGAGATTTTACTTCAGTCGATCAGGGTTTGACTATGTGCTTCCTGGAGCATTGAACGGTAACTCCAGTACATTGTCACTTCAGCTTGAAGACTACGTCGCTACAGTGGAGACTTTGCCACTAACAAACAGTCCTGCGGTGTTTGGTCTGCATCCAAATGCGGAGATCGGATACTACACGAACATGTCGAAAAGTGTATGGAAAGATCTGATCTCTCTACAGCCTCGGTCAGCTCAATCTGGTGCCGGAGTCTCGCGTGAGGACCATATCGGTAACGTGGCTAGTGATATTCAGTCAAAGGTACCGGAGCCTGTCGATGT